CTCAGTGGAGATTACGCGCTGACGTGATTGGTAGACGCTAGAAGGATGTTTGAAACCTGGCTTGGAAATGGTGGTGAAAGTGTTTTGCTGGAGTAGGTATTGGAAGTGGTTTGCTTGATGCAGGATAGGTGCTGGAATTGAAAATCTGAGGAGATTTTTGGGCATTGCAGTGGTGGTTTTAGTAATAAGGGATGTGAGGTGATGGATGTAAATAATTCATTTCTCAGCCCCTAAGTGCATCCTAATCATTAGGAAAGGATTTGATTTGCATGAGCTCGTAGCATGACCTTCTTGGTATTTGATTGAGTCATTGCATGGCATGATGAACTTGGGGTATCCCTTTGCTGCAATGGTGACCATTTGGTATGATAACGCATGGCTTCTTCCTGCTTTCGGCAATTAGAACTGCCTGGTCTAAGGTTGCCATTTTTATGACGATTGTATTGCTTTCTTGAGATGATTGTATCCAGTGCAATGCTTGAGTTGCATGGTTTTGGAGATGAAGAGTTTCTTCTTGGCTTGGCATGTTATAAAGAGTTCTTTCTTGCTTGGCCTCGATATCTTTTGAGCCTGCAGTTTGCTTGTGAGGTTTTTGCTTCTCTAGGCACGATTTCTTTTACATCTCAGTCTCTTCCAACGCCTGATTTTTGTTGAAGCTTAAGCATCAGCATCTACGGAATCCTCTTGCCATGGCTAAATTAAGTATTGGTATTTATGCACCTCTTGTATGGTGATGGCATGTTGGTTTGGAAATTTCGCTTGGCATATTGTATCCTCGTTTCTTTTTTTTGTTTTTTTTGTTTTTTGTTTTGTTTTTTGTTTTGTTTTTTTGCTTGCTTGCTTCTTGTGAATGCCTATAATGAAATATTATGGTCAATATATGATATTGGTAGACAAAGTTATATGGTGAATTCGTTAAAATAATAACCAAAGCATGTGAATGAGCATGCTAAGCATAGTAGAGCATAGTTACTAAATTGCAATAATGTCATGCAAGTAGTAAGAGGATAAATTCTCATCTTGTATCAAGAGGTGATGGCCCATCGGTTTGGCCATTTTACCTCTGATGTTGTCTATTTGATATTTGCTTGACTAATATGCTTGGCCTGTAAAGAAAGTACTTGGCGTGGTTTAGCTTGACTGATATGTTTTGCATGCATATCTGGGTTAATCCACAAACGTTTGTATTGAAGGAGCTTGACAGAGCATAAGAGAGTAGTTTCCTGGAGATAGAATTCTCCTATGTTGGTTTCAGCTTGCTTATGTAGACATAGACTGAGGCACGGGCTGTTTTGATGTTCGGAGGCTTAGGTCTTTTGCTTTTGACTGCTATAATTCAATGTTCTTTTGTTAGTGTGCATGGAGGTGCCATATGGTAGTGATAACCATATAACCATATGGCACGTGTCTGGTTGTTAAGAGAGTTTGTTAGTTGTTAAGAGAGCCTGTTAGTTTGCTATATAAGTACTATTACAATGTAATCATGGTTAACGAGAATCAATATACAGTCATCAGATTTCTTCTTCTTTATTCTTCTTCTTCTTCTTTCTTCTTCATTTTCTTCATATTCTTCTACTGTTATCATGGTATCACGAGCTTAGGTTCGATTCGATTCTGAGGTCTTTTCGTTTCCGCATTCTATTCTTCCTTATTTCTCTGATTCTTTCTTCTGTCAATCTCAAATCCTGTTCTCTCAAATTTTCTGCAATTTTTCTCCAAAACAAATTTTCGTTCTGTGAAACCCTAATTCTGCTTTCATGGCTTTCTCTCTCAAAATTGATGGCCTTTTGGGCATGCTTACCATTCGGCTTAACGATGACAACTTCTTGAAGTGGAGTTATCAACTGGAGTCGGTACTCCAGGGCTACGATCTGTTCGGCCACTTCGATGGTTCTTTTGTTGCTCCTCCAAAATTCGCCATTGTTGGTGAAGAAGGTACTACTTCTGAGGTTACTACGGCCTATAAAGACTGGATTCGCACAGACAAGGCACTCTTGAGTTTTCTTATTGCATCTTTGTCAGATGAAGCACTTGAGTATGTCATCGGGAGTCAAACAGCTAGAGAGGCCTGGCTTCATCTTTGTGATCGCTATGCCTCTGTTTCTCGAGCAAGAATTAATCATTTGAAAACAGAACTACAGACTGCTCAAAAAGGTGGAGACTCCATTGAGCGATTCTTGCTTAGGTTGAATGGCGGCCGGAATCAGCAATCTCAGTTTCGTTCATCTGGTTTTCGTGGTGCTTCCTCTTCCAATTATGGTGGTTCTGGTTCATACAAAGTTGTGCCAGAATGTCAAATATGCAGCAAACGTGGTCATACAGCGGCGAACTGTTATTTTCGTAATGCTCCCTCTTCGGATGCTCCTTCACCTGTTGTTGAGTGCCAAATCTGTGGTAAACGAGGGCATACTGCTTTGGATTGTTATCACCGCTCTAACTATGCATTTCAAGGGCAAGCACCGCCATCTTCCTTAACTGCTATGACAGCTCAATCTTCTTATTCTCCAGAGCAAGTCTGGATTGCTGACACAGGAGCTTCTCATCATATGGTTGGCAATGCCTCTCACCTGCATAATGTCACTTCTTGTGATGTGACTGAGAATGTCACTGTTGGTAATGGGGAAGGTTTGGAAATTCTTAATCTTGGCACTACCTCTATTTCTTGTGCCAATACCAAAGCTTTATCTTTGCCATATGTGTTTCATGTTCCCAAACTTAAAGCCAATCTATTATCGGTGCATCAATTGTGTCAAGATAACAATTGTCTTATCACCTTTGATGCCTCTGGTTTTTGCATACAGGACAAGCTCACCAAGCAAATTGTTCTTCAGGGCAAGAGTAATCGAGGTCTTTATCACATTCCTCTAGCTGCCTCTTCTGTCTTGAATCGTGCCTCCTGTTTTTCCTCTGCTCCAGTTGCCTATCTTGGCCAACAAATAAAGTCCTCTCTTTGGCATTAAAGGTTAGGTCATCCAACCAATGAAGTTGTGAAACTAATGCTTCAAGCCTCTGCTGTGTCTGTTTCTATTGATTCTGTTTCTGCCCTATGTTCTGCTTGCTTGCACGGCAAAATGCATAGGTTGCCTTTTCCTAGTGAGCATATTAAGTCTAACATAGCCTTTCAGAGGATCCATAGTGATGTATGGGGTCCCTCTAGAAATAAATCCATAGATGGATATCGCTATTATGTCTCATTTGTTGATGAATGTACTGGTTTCCTGTGGCTTTATCCACTGTTCAATAAATCTGGAGTTTTTGAGATCTTTCTTAAGTTCTATGCCTTTATTAGTACTCAATTTGGTGCTCATCTTCAATATTTTCAAAGTGATGGGGGTGGTGAGTTTAATAGTTCACAATTTGCCTCTTTTCTTGACTCAAAGGGTATCATTCACCAGTTGTCTTGTCCTTCCACTCCTCAGCAAAATGGTCTTGCTGAGAGAAAGAATCGCCATGTTATAGAAACTGCCTTAACTCTGTCAGTTACAGCCAATCTTCCTAGTCAATTTTGGTATCATGCTATGGCACTTGCTGCTTACTTGATCAATTTCATGCCTAGTATTGCTCTTGGTAATCAGTCTCCATTTCAGAAGTTATTTGCTAAGCCTCCACCTCTTCAACATCTACGAATCTTTGGCACAGCTGTTTATCCATATATTAGACCATTTAATGAACATAAACTTCAATCTAGGACTGTACAGTGTGTTTTCATGGGATATTCTCAGGGTTATAAGGGTGTTATATGCTATAACACTGCTACTCACCGTTTCCTTCTCTCTAGACATGTGGTTCATGATGAGAGTGTCTTTCCTTTTAGGCACTCCGAGCCTTCACCTCCATCTAGCAATCTTTCTTCTTGTACTCCATCTTCTTTCAAGGCTCCACCTATTGTAGTTTCTGTTTCACATCATGTGCCTTCCTTGGCTTCTAGTTCAGATCCTAGTCTTGCTTCCTCACATTCCTCTGATGTCCCTTCCCATGTTTATGCATCTTTTGGTGATGATTCAGTTTTAATTGCTTCGGGTGCAGACCCTACAGACAATTTACAGGTTCTTAGTGATCAACAATTACAAGCTCTTTTGCCTTCTCATGAATCTTCTTCACCATCTATGCCTCCTCCTATGCATTATATGCAGACAAGGTCTAAGAGTGGTATTGTCAAGACTAAGCCATTTGAGGATTATCAATGCTATCTTACTACTATTCCACCTTTTCATGAAGCTGTTGAACCAGCTACCTATAAGGCTGCTTCTCAGTCCTCTGTTTGGATACAGGCTATGAGGGAAGAAATTGAAGCTTTGCACACCCAAGGTACATGGGATTTAGTTCCTATGCCTGTGGATAAAAAACATTGTTGGTAGCCGATGGGTTTATAGAGTCAAGAGGAACTCAGATGGGTCTGTAGCAAGACATAAGGCTCGCTTGGTTGCACAAGGTTTTAGTCAAGCTCCTGGTCTAGATTTTAGTGAGACTTTTAGTCCTGTTGTAAGGCATACAACAGTTAGATTGGTTTTGAGTATTGCTGCTATGAACAGGTGGTCTCTTCGACAACTTGATGTGAAAAATGCTTTTCTTCATGGTGATCTTGAAGAAGAAGTGTTTATGCGCCAACCTCAAGGTTTTGAAGATTCTGCATATCCAACCTATGTTTGTCGATTGAGAAAATCTCTTTATGGGCTAAAGCAAGCACCTAGAGCTTGGAATGCAAAGTTCACAGGTCATCTTCCAGCCATTGGTTTTACTGTTTCTCATTCTGATCCAAGTCTCTTTGTTAAGCATGTTGGTTCAGATAGTGTCATTCTTCTACTCTATGTTGATGATATCATCTTGACTGGTTCTAAAGATAGTTTAGTCCAAGAGGTTATTGATGAATTAAGTGCTGTGTTTGAAATGAAAGATATGGGGAGGTTAACCTACTTCTTAGGATTGCAGATTTCTTATCATGATAATGGAGATATTTTTGTATGTCAAACAAAATATGCTAGAGATTTACTTGCAAAGGTTGGTATGGATACATGTTGACCTTGTACTACTCCATGTAAGCCACATTGTCAGCTTTTGGCTTCGGAGGGTAACTCCTTATCTGATCCAACCATCTACAGGAGTATTGTTGGTGCACTGCAATATTTGACATTCACTCGACCTGATCTTTGTTATGCTGTTAATACTGTCTGTCAGTATATGACTCAACCGTCATATTTACATTTTCAGTTGGTTAAGCGCATCCTGAGATATATTCATGGTACTTTGGATCATGGTCTGACTTTTACAAGCGGAGCTTGGGATCTTCATGCCTATAGTGATGCAGATTGGGCCTCAGATGTGAATACTCGCAGATCAACTACTGGTTTTGTGGTTTATCTTGGCAACAATCCAGTTTCCTGGCAGTCTAAGAAGCAAAATTCTGTTTCTAGAAGTTTGTATCATTCACCAGTTGTCTTGTCCTTCCACTCCTCAGCAAAATGGTCTTGCTGAGAGAAAGAATCGTCATGTTATAGAAACTGCCTTAACTCTGTCAGTTACAGCCAATCTTCCTAGTCAATTTTGGTATCATGCTATGGCACATGCTGCTTACTTGATCAATTTCATGCCTAGTATTGCTCTTGGTAATCAGTCTCCATTTCAGAAGTTATTTGCTAAGCCTCCACCTCTTCAACATCTACGAATCTTTGGCACAGCTGTTTATCCATATATTAGACCATTTAATGAACATAAACTTCAATCTAGGACTGTACAGTGTGTTTTCATGGGATATTCTCAGGGTTATAAGGGTGTTATATGCTATAACACTGCTACTCACCGTTTCCTTCTCTCTAGACATGTGGTTCATGATGAGAGTGTCTTTCCTTTTAGGCACTCCGAGCCTTCACCTCCATCTAGCAATCTTTCTTCTTGTACTCCATCTTCTTTCAAGGCTCCACCTATTGTAGTTTCTGTTTCACATCATGTGCCTTCCTTGGCTTCTAGTTCAGATCCTAGTCTTGCTTCCTCACATTCCTCTGATGTCCCTTCCCATGTTTATGCATCTTTTGGTGATGATTCAGTTTTAATTGCTTCGGGTGCAGACCCTACAGACAATTTACAGGTTCTTAGTGATCAACAATTACAAGCTCTTTTGCCTTCTCATGAATCTTCTTCACCATCTATGCCTCCTCCTATGCATTATATGCAGACAAGGTCTAAGAGTGGTATTGTCAAGACTAAGCCATTTGAGGATTATCAATGCTATCTTACTACTATTCCACCTTTTCATGAAGCTGTTGAACCAGCTACCTATAAGGCTGCTTCTCAGTCCTCTGTTTGGATACAGGCTATGAGGGAAGAAATTGAAGCTTTGCACACCCAAGGTACATGGGATTTAGTTCCTATGCCTGTGGATAAAAACATTGTTGGTAGCCGATGGGTTTATAGAGTCAAGAGGAACTCAGATGGGTCTGTAGCAAGACATAAGGCTCGCTTGGTTGCACAAGGTTTTAGTCAAGCTCCTGGTCTAGATTTTAGTGAGACTTTTAGTCCTGTTGTAAGGCATACAACAGTTAGATTGGTTTTGAGTATTGCTGCTATGAACAGGTGGTCTCTTCGACAACTTGATGTGAAAAATGCTTTTCTTCATGGTGATCTTGAAGAAGAAGTGTTTATGCGCCAACCTCAAGGTTTTGAAGATTCTGCATATCCAACCTATGTTTGTCGATTGAGAAAATCTCTTTATGGGCTAAAGCAAGCACCTAGAGCTTGGAATGCAAAGTTCACAGGTCATCTTCCAGCCATTGGTTTTACTGTTTCTCATTCTGATCCAAGTCTCTTTGTTAAGCATGTTGGTTCAGATAGTGTCATTCTTCTACTCTATGTTGATGATATCATCTTGACTGGTTCTAAAGATAGTTTAGTCCAAGAGGTTATTGATGAATTAAGTGCTGTGTTTGAAATGAAAGATATGGGGAGGTTAACCTACTTCTTAGGATTGCAGATTTCTTATCATGATAATGGAGATATTTTTGTATGTCAAACAAAATATGCTAGAGATTTACTTGCAAAGGCTGGTATGGATACATGTCGACCTTGTACTACTCCATGTAAGCCACATTGTCAGCTTTTGGCTTCGGAGGGTAACTCCTTATCTGATCCAACCATCTACAGGAGTATTGTTGGGGCACTGTAGTATTTGACATTCACTCGACCTAATCTTTGTTATGTTGTTAATACTATCTATCAGTATATGACTCAACCTTCAGATTTACATTTTCAGTTGGTTAAGCGCATCTTGAGATATATTCATGGTACTTTGGATCATGGTCTGACTTTTACAAGCGGAGCTTGGGATCTTCATGCCTATAGTGATGCAGATTGGGCCTCAGATGTGAATACTCGCAGATCAACTACTGGTTTTGTGGTTTATCTTGGCAACAATCCAGTTTCCTGGCAGTCTAAGAAGCAAAATTCTGTTTCTAGAAGTTTAACTGAGGCTGAGTACAGGGCATTAGCTAATACAGCAGCGGATCTAGCTTGGGTTCGACAAGTTTTACTTGATTTAAAGGTATTCTTACCACAGCCTCCTACAATACATTGTGACAATCTTTCAGCCCTTGCTTTAAGTTCAAATCCTGTGTATCATTCTCGGATCAAACATTTAGATATTGACTTTCATTTTGTAAGAGAAAGAGTACAGAAGAAAGACTTGATTATGCAGTATATTCCTACTGAAGAACAGGTAGCAGACATCTTCACAAAGGGATTACATGGTCCTATTTTTCTGAGACATTGCAGGAATCTGCAACTTAGCAGCTCAGCTGGGTTTGAGGGGGAATGATAACCATATAACCATATGGCACGTGTCTGGTTGTTAAGAGAGTTTGTTAGTTGTTAAGAGAGTCTGTTAGTTTGCTATATAAGTACTATTACAATGTAATCATGGTTAACGAGAATCAATATACAGTCATCAGATTTCTTCTTCTTCTTTCTTCTTCATTTTCTTCATATTTCCCTCAGTAAGCATGGTTGGTGACCGTGTGAGTGCCTTTGGAGGTAGCTGCACCTCATTAGCTTGGATGAATACTTTGCTTTTTGAATGAGACGGTGCCAAAATGTTTCCAAGGCATCCGTGGAAGAGTCCAAGGCTAAAAATAAGAGGCATGGATGAGAATTATGATTTTTTGAGGACGAATGCCAAGGTGTTCCAAGGCATCCATAGAAAGTTTCTAAGGTCGAACCCGGGATACGGATGAAGATTTTTCTTTTTAAATGAGGGGTTGCCAAAAAGTTTCCAAGGCACCCGTGGAAGCGTCCAAGGCTAAAAATAAGAGCCTTGGATGAGAATAATGATATTTTTTTTTTTCAAAGAAGGATGCCAAGGTGTTCCTTCCAAGGTATCCATGAAAAGTGTCCATCACCAAAACTGCCTCTGGCCGTTCTTTTGAACTGGGCTGGAGTGGATTAAAATACTAATGAATCCAGGATTTCTTCACTGTTGGTTAAAATAATGACAATAAACCTGCCAGGTGTCTACCAACAGTGATAGTCCAGGCTAGTTTTGGAAGCAAATAACCGTGTACTTTTGACTAAAGTAAGTCTGCTTTTATCTTTCTAGTTTCAAGATTATCAATTTGGTTTTCAGTTAGTCACCAACGGTGGTGGTTAACTCTTGATATACCTTTTACGAGCCAAATTAATTCAATTAATCTGAGTTTTTGGCTTATTCACCATTGTTGGTAACTAATTTCCAGAAAATCAAATAACTTGGGTAATTGAATTAATTTATCCCACATGTTTTAAATAGTATGGGCTATTCACCATTTTTGGTCAACAAAGCCCATATTAATTCATGTAAAAAAAGCCCGATTGTCAATTGGACTCGCGCGCAGAATTTAGACCCAAACACTAACTTTATGTTTGAATGATTTTTTTACCAATACTTGCTTGTCCTAACAAAATTTCCGTCAATAGTTAACATCACTTTCAAGATGGTTGTATACTCCTCCTTAATGATGTTTTTTAACATCTAAACAATGAAACATTAAAAGGTGGCCCACCATCAACTACAATTCATTAGGGAAATATTAATTTTCTCAAATTTATTTGTATTCTTTGCTGCCACAGGTGGGAAGAGGCACTTTTTAATTATAAAAAGGTGATAGAATTTTATTAGATCAATAAGAATAAAGAGTACGAAGGACACATACTGTAAAGGGAGCCAAGCCAATAACAATATGAGAGACATGGGCAAAACTTTCCGACTAGAGCTAACTGAAAAGCTAAAAAGATCTGAAGAGAATCATCATCGAAAATAACTTTTCTATAACCCCTTCAATCGCCATAATTTCCCCGAATCTAGTCCAATGACATCAATGACAAAACTAACCTCTAACCGGCATGACTCTACTAAAGAGACTAAACATGTAACAAACTCAACTAAGTTTCTAGACTATATTGAACAAACTAAACCAAAATAAAAGCTAAAACAACGCCAGCAAAAGAAAAATCAATCGCTGGTAATCTTCATTCGGAACATGACATATAGAGCGCCATTAATTACTTGAGGGCCTTAATGCATCAACGAGCAGTTGATCTATCATGACCAAGCCACATCACCTCAAAGAGTAGTCGCACAAGATGTGGCACAATTAAAGCCAGCCTAGATATGAGGCAATAGATGTGCCAAAAGAAGAGTAGATCAATATAGGTCCACCAAAAGCAAAAGAACACTAAAGATGCAACGGGATCCGAGGGAAAACCCCAATATGTTACACATGAATTACTTATTATACACATAACATAATATATATGTGAAACTTAACTATTTATATTTTTGCACTTTGCATTTGTAAAGCTTATTTGTTGATGCCAAGAAATTTTAACTGATTCTCTCAAGGATCACAGGGCACAACTTGAATAGGTACACTTTCAGTTATGTTGTTAAATATATATTCATTTTGATAATATATAGTTTTTGGTTGCATTTAATATATATTTGTTTTATGATAAAGTTTATTGAAAATTAGTTAATGGAACTAACTAGCATGATTTATATGATTTAATGTGTACTTTTATTTATAGAAAAACTATAGAAACTATAAATTTTAAAAATAGAAGTAAAAAATTTAGCTAGCCCACCCACCGAAAAATTCATGGTTTCACCTTTAGTGTCAAAGTATATAATACGTCTAGATGACAAGGAATGAGCTTTTTGGTCATATTATCAATATTAAACTTCAAGAACTGTAAATGCCACACACTCACGTAGAAGCATATCAAGATGCTTAGAGTCTCAATTAAATAATGTGATTAATAAAAAAAACAGAAAAACTTCATGCATCAACACACAAGATTGATGGCCCCTAGGTTGGAAATATTGCTTGATGGATGCTCCTATTCCTGCAAACTTGAAAGTTTACTTCCATTTGAAAATTTTCAAAGTTGATGTTGGTGGATGCGTGTGTGCGTGTGTGCTTTAATTTGAACTTTTAGGCTGAGGTGTGTGGCCACATTGCAATTAGTCTTCTGTTTGGATGAGATACTTTGAAGTACCCAAGAACTTCAAAGTGTTTAGGCCAAACCAACTGAACAATATGCTGACTCGAGATTAGGTTTCATAACTAACAAGATTGATTTTGATATTGATGATGTAGTTACTCAACTACTCAACCCCACATTAATTATGGAAAACCAACCAATTACAACACTCCATATCTCAGTATATCTTTTTGTGCTTGTGGAGTACAGAAAATCGGGTACACAGACTCCTTTTTTCCAGGAGCATCTTCTAGGAGTTCATGCAACTATGATGCTTCAGCCCTTCCTTGGCTTCAACCTGGCACATAAACATTGTCTTGGAATCAATATATTTCCAAATAAAAATATAGGAAGCTAAGAGATGGAAGGAAACGCAATGAAGATTACTTGTTCTGAGTAGGATTCGGAATGCTAGGAGGTATTCTTCGAAGGCTATCGAATACTGGCTCGGTGGTGACTGGCTTTTTATTGTCTGAGTGTGCATGTAGGAGAGATTGAGAGGATGAAGAAGTAGCTGAAGACAAAGAAGATGGTGGTTGAACTCTGGCTAAGGCTCTATTATTGCAAACTAAATGCATCAATAATATAGCAATGGTAATTTTAAGCAATGATTTGTAGCAGGATTTCATGGTTTTGCAGACTCAGAGGATGTCTTCTTACCAATGCTTGGTCCGATGATGAGTTAAGGTCATTTATAAGCTCATAATATGAGTGTGTGAGAGAGAGAGAGAAGTTTTCCTTAATGACCTTTTTATGTGCTGCTCTTAACTTATATAAAATGGAGATTGGATGCAGGAGTGTCATGTGATGAATCTTTGACTATCTTAGCTTCCAAGTTCCAAAGCTCAATCTCCCAAAGAAATTGCCTATAGTTTTAGTTATAGAGAGCAGTCATGTGATCAGGCACGTGATAAAATTACAGACAATTGGTTGGCAAACTTTGGATTCTGCCTTCTGAGTTTTTTACAATTAAGATAATGACATACAGAGGTATGGTAAATGACTTACAGAAGCCTAAAATATTTGACACTGAACTTAAAATTAAGGGTTACATTACCAATGCAATGCCAATTTGCAGAGAAAGTTTGAAACTCAAGGCCCTCTTCATTATTATAATCCTGCATTTAAACTACCATATGCTTCTCATCTCCACCAGAACCGACCTAAAATGTTTGATGCAGTTTAAACACATTGAGATGCTGTTTGAAGAATAAAATATCAGGTGGCTTGTGAATCAAGCATTTTATATCATGAATTCTTTTTGACCGAATTCAGGCCAAGAGAACTGGAATGTCTACAACAAATACACTCTTTGATAAATTATAAGAACAAAGACACCAATTCACACAATAATCTGTCACCTATGCATCTCTTAGAATCAACTTGTTAGGAAATCAGAACAAATCCAAAGCCGAGCATGTTCACTAAGAGGACGGAATTCATAATGTGTGCCGGAAAAGTTGGAATGTGTGACCACTTCGGACCGAACGTATCACTTGTTGGAGAACTATTTACACCTTAATAATGCAAAGACCTCTGCATCATGAAACCTACTTCATCTCATCTAATCAGCAAAACTGGGTATTTTGTCAACCCTTCAGCGGCTATGGTTAGCATTTTAGTACCTGACAGTACAAAAAAAAGTCAGGGCAACAACCTTTGGCAGTTCACAAGAATGACAGAAAATATTAGAGAGTTAAGAACATAAAAAGACGACGACCCTATATGTTTTGATAGAGAAAACAAGGCCCTACCGAGCAAGTGTTCACATATGACAAAGATTGGTACAAGGCGGTCACCATTATGTATGTTTTGATCTTGACAAAATGACCCCAGTGTAAGCACATATCATCAAGATAAGTAAGTTTTGCAACTCTTTATCGTTGCACCAGCATTGCAAAAACTCTATGTAAATAAATAAAAACTACCAAATTTGGTCATAAACTTACATGTCTTTCAAGTATCTAGCAGTTGGTAAAAGCTCTTCAATTTCAATCTTCATATTAGAGCTAGGTGATCCTTTCTTCAATTCATTCTGATTGACAACAACATCCACAACAAATGTTCCACAAACTGGCCGGTGGTCAGAAAATCGGGACTCTCCACGTATGTAAGAAAGTTGTTTAATCCCACTTCCATGCCATAGTATTCGATCACACCTGCAATATCGAACTAGTCAAATCTTTTTGTTAAATGTAAATTGGGTTTCATAAGTACACTCTTGCAATCCACATACCAAGCTGGGGTTCTTCTTTTCTTTTTGGATGTTTTTATCTCTCCAAAATAAGTGTCTGAGTTATAAAAATATTTGTAAGTAGGTGCAAAGTAGATTTTTCCCTCTTTCCATCCTTTGAATACTCGCTCTGCTTCTCTTTCAATCTTGAGCTATAAATACAAGCAAAAAATTATTAGTGCACGATATGAGAGAATAGAATGTGTGGGTGACAAAGAAAGCAAAGTATATAACTCAAAAATGGCAGCCAAATGCCCGGGACTTCTCCAGCCCCAGAAATTGTAAATCCATCAAAGATGAGTTATAAATAACACACCAAACAAAGTATTGAGGGAGTCAAAACTACGAAGTTTAGCTACATTTTGGATAAAATGCGAAATGAAATGCAGTACTCATTTCTAGTACCAAATGGCTCATTCATTGAATTGCTACTGAAACTGAAAATAAAGCTCTTCCATCAAATGCTTTTAACAAATATCGGACTAGATTGGGTAGTCACATTAACATAGGACGGCTAATATTTCCGAAACTTGTAGCCCAACTCCAACATGATTTTCTTATTATTTCATGTTAAATTCAATTACCTGGTCTTTGTTAAGAAGTGCATCCCAGTCATTGTTTTCCAAAAGCTTTCGGGTTTCAGAGTAGCTCAAAGCAATGCGGTAATTCAAGTCACCTAACCATATAACCATACTAGATCCATTTGCAAAGGAATTGGTCAGATAATCAATTTATATGTGAGAAAATGGTGATAGATTATAAAAATGATTCATGAAAGCAACGTTTAATTCTTTAATAATGGCATTCATAGATGCTTACTCATGTCCTAGAATTTTATCCGGCATCCTGCTATGAGTTGTTTTGCAAATCTTAGGAAACTGAGTGCTCTTGAGTATCTCTAACACATCCAAATTTCTCCTCAGCTCATCTCCCTCTTTCTCACCAGATGCCAAGTGACTGCAGACAAAGCAAAAGCTTGTCTGATGGAATAAAAAACTCACAGAAATACAACCCTGCAACCAATGAAGAATAACAGCTTAAGCTTACAATAAGAGGTAATATGATATGTTCAATCATGCACAACCAACATATGATAAACCTCTATGCTTATAGTTTTTTTGTAAAATACCTTGTTTCCAAGGCATCCCATGATTCCACGACTTATGCAAGAGATTCTTAAGTGGCTAACATATTGTATATGCTCCTTCCTCGCCCAAATGGTAACAAAAATTCCCACCATTTGCTTACTAGCTATAAGGCTGTACTTCAAATGGTTGCTAGTAGATGCCATAGAAATTTCCGATATATCAAAAACGTTTGATCCATCTTCATCCGGTTCAGAAGAAAGGTCGTCTTCATTTATATTTGGTTGTTGGCATCGAAAGCAAAAATCCTTACTATGTTTCCTTTCTAGTTCAAAAATGCAGTTGCAACTCTTCAATCGCCTTTTACTCTCTGTCCTAAAAGTCTTACTGACCTTTTTAAGGGAAGGCTTAGAGGAAAAAAGTGAACCACTGGCCTTGCTTCTTGAAGACCCGTCTAGTGATTTGTTCAATGATTGGTTGATTAAAGTAAGCCATTTTGCTGCAGGTTCATTATCTTCTAGAACTAGCACATTTCCAGCATTTAAAGGGACAATTTCCTGAAAACTGATGGTATAAAACAAAAAAAAATTAATGAAATGACCAATTAGTATATGCTGCATAAGCACCTAAATAACATGGAAATATATTTTCTTTTTATAGCTTATACTAAAGTGATATGTCATAATGAAAAACTATACAGAGATGACAAAGAGACTAGTATCTTTGCAACTTGTTTCTGTGTGTTTTCTTGACACACTATCATACTCTTAATGTTGTGATAGGCACTGTGACTCATATCACAGTAGTTATGTTTTAAAATCAAGTACCTAAATATACAATCTCATTTGAAATAATTGTCAACACTATCATACTCTAGATATTGGGTGGATACTTTACGGGTGGATGTGAGAGGAAAAAATGCAATGTAAAGGAGATATACATATCCTAAATGAAACTTTGCAAATGAAAAAGCAGTAATCAGATCCCGAAGAAAAACAAACGGATATTATCAATTTGAAACTGTACAAATCAGAAGGGAACAACAAAGTAATAGAGGAAAGACAACAAATAAAGAAACCATACCCCAAGACATATATGTCCGATTCATTGTTAACCTGAAGAAAATCATCTAAATTTAGGCCATCATGAGGAGATTTCCCTCCTACATTCCACGTTGCTACAAACACTCTACAAAACCCAGACAAGAAATATCAAATGTTAAATCCTATATCTATTTATCAAGGGGATAGAAAGACAGAAACAATTGTTAATTCTAGAAGATATTGTGATTACCGAAAGGACTGAACATATTGACCAGCAGGCATCTGAGGCTCTGTGCTACTTAGAGATTGAATGTCAACTGCTGGATTGGACTGTGGTTCTGAAAGAAGATACAAGCAACAAAAATCTCATGGTAAGATGTCAAATATAAAAGAGTTCTAGGTTAAGCAAGAAAGAATGTTTCTTTACAGATTAAACCTCAGAAAACTCTGCCCCTAAGGAACCTGTTTTCTTTAACTGATAGCAAAGACTTATATGAACATCGAAAGAAAAAGGGGATCTAGTCCAAAATTTTGGTTTTGAGGGAGATGGGGAGGAGAGGGACATGCTTTATGCTTGCTACCTTTCGTGCAGTAGCTTAAATTTCAAACATGAATATATTCTAATTTCAAATCTCCAAGATGCTCTCCCCTCTCCCTGTAACAATCAGTACCAACAACGATATTTGAGACCCAAATGAGACTTATATGGTTGGCTCAACTCAACTAATCATCCCTGTCTTACCAAAAACAGTTGAAGAATAACTAACCATTCCATTCAAAAAAGAAAAGCAACATCACATTCTTTAAAAAGCAAATGGAATTGTATTCTGCTATATCTGTAACCAAAAAGAAAGATCACATCATCTGCAATATGAGACCCCAATTTAAAGACACATCCTATCAGATTTTTTAGGAGGCAAAGAGAGAGCACATTGTATGATCTTGGATTTTCTTTGACAGAAAAAAAATAATTGTATATGATAAGTGATTGTATTGAAACTAGAGACAAATTCAATAGACTCACCAGGGAAATCAGATGAGCCACTTCCTTCTCTCTCCTTCATGGTGAAAATCTTGTGGATAAAAGACTGAAACAATAGGGTAGCAAAATTCCTTTGAATTAACCAAATCTGATATATTAAAAATAAAAAAAAAACAAAAAAAACTATTATCTTTGCCAAGAGATGTAGATTTTGAGAGGTAAATGATCCAATTTCTTCAACTACACAAAAGAAAAGAAGAAATTGGGAACAAAATGATATATAATCATAATGAAAAGACAGCAAAACAAGAAAAGGAACCTTTCTTTTCACGCCTTGATTTCCTACGGTCATTTTGAAACTGCTACTGTTTCATCAATTGGGTTCAGAGACCTTCACAAACAGATACAGATGCCGCAATTAGATAGATCAAAACCCTTCAACCAGACAAGATATTAATAAAATATTATGATTCACAAAGAGGACAACGTGAGAATATTGATAAACTATTACGCTTGAACAAACAAAATCCCATGAATAATCCAATTGCCTAAACATCCAAAAGAGCACCAAACACAACCACCAAAATGGAATGTGGTTTCAAATGACAGAATCAGAAAATTACCAGAATTTGAAGAAGCTTTGACATTCATGGAGGAGGAGGAGATCTCTGAAATCTTATTATAAATAGTCCGGCAACAACGACCCATGAAACAAGTTGACAGCCAACATGGGTTTTCTCGAGAAAGTCAACTGGACAAAGCAATTCCTATTCCTTGATAAAATATTGTGTGTTTGATTTTATTTAGTTTCCCCAGAAAAAAAAAAAAAAAAAGACATGGAAAATTGAACTTGATAAGGAGACCTGCATATTCCATACGTTTTTGTGTGTCTGTGTTTCTGCAACGGATAGCCTCAAGTCCTCTACAGTGATGTTTCAAGAACTGCCCATGTTGATGTACAAACAGGTACAAGTGCAATAAATAACGTTGCTAGCAAAACTGACTTCGGTTGTCAACGTTTTCTTGAAAAAATATATAATATTTCTGTCGAATTCTTGTAACATACTTTTCTACTTGTGTTATTTTTCCTTAGGGACAAATCACATCTTGACGCATGTAGAAAAAAAAATCCTTCTTTTTATTAGAGTGTGATTTGTTAGTATACAGGAACGAATGAACCAAATATTGTTGTTTTCAATAAGACATTTATGGGAATTTGTTAGACAAAGATGGATCGATCTAGACTAGACTATATCAATTAAATTAGACAATTATTCTCGTCTTGATTGGTATGCTGAGACCTAGAATTGGCTCGGACTAATTCCAATACATTTCAAACCGAATCACCAAACGAGTATAAAGAACTAAATAATTCTTTTATATTTATATTTGGGAAAAAAAATGAGAAAAAAAAAAAAAAAACAAAGTAAAGGGTCAAAAGGGAGGATAGAATGTTGAATGTCCTTTCAATTAAAAGTCCAAACGGTGGATTTTGGGAATTGGAATTGGAATTGGGAAACTGTGAGTTTTCGTCAGATTGTACTTTGTTTTCTTCTCTGGAAGAAGAAAGCTGTTTTTGGAACTCTTTTGGGTTTTCGGCTTAATAATAATTTTAATAAATTTTGTGGTTCTGATTTTTCGTGCGTGCCATGTCCGTAAGCTTTTGGAGTTGTGGTGGGAGAAACAAGAGGGATTTTTTTTTTGGTGAGGACAGAGACCTCTGGAAGAGGGAAAAAGGCCCCACGTGTGTGCGTGTATCTCTGTCAAACGGTCAAAGCCAAGGCTTTTTGGGGGTTGTGGTTTCCTCACACCACGGCAGGCGCCAGTCCCGCTGGCACCAAATATTAAATCCCAGACTCGGTCCCGGTTTGGCTTTTGGGCTCATGCCCCCTTTGCCAATTGTCAATTGGAATATTTTTATTTCTTTCTTTTTATACAAGCAATAATCTAAACTCATTCATTCAATATAAGTATATTCTCATTTGTACATTTTTAGAAACATTAATGAGATTACTTAATTAGATAAAAGTTTATATATTTTTTTTCTATTTTTATAAGATTATTATGAAAGTTAAGTTATGATGCACTTTTTTTTATTTTGAGAGAAAAACGAGGCATTTAAATGGCAAGAAAACATTACAAAAGATCTTCAGTTATTGCATCTTGAAATATATCAGGAGGATTCCCATACCATAAAGACACATTTTCAATCGACAAAGCAAAACAGACTAATCTATGCGTCGCTAAGTTGGCCTCTCTAATCACAAAATTAATAATTGTATCTCTCAAGCCATAAAGCAGAATCTTCTTATTTTAATTTCTTTTGTTGTAAAATAATAAGGGAGGTGTGTTGCATTAGTATTTTGGAAGCTCATATTTTGCATACAATGTATGTTTTAGAAAGTGTCCATTGAGATTGTTGTAGGAAATCTTACAAATGAAATTTGATATTGAAGTGAAACTGCCCAATGACCCTTTCGAAAAATAAGTCAACTTTGGAATTGATTTCTTTTGTATGATAGGTTCATCCACTCCTAATTTTGTACTAATCATAAAGAAATAAAAACAGAGTTTTCCAAGCCCAGCAAAGTACGAATAAATATCCAATGGGTTCCCACCACAGTGGTGATGGATTCCTCCTCTCCCATGACACACAACATCGAACCCAGTAAAATTTATTTCCTCCAATATAACCGAAAATAAATTACGATTAGACAACACTGGAAAAAGTTCAACTCTTCCATGCACCAACTATATGACCTAGGTAAAATTAATTGTAATTTATATCAGCAATATGGTTTAATTGTAACTTACTGTACAGGATTTCTTGCCCATTCTTTTCTTTTTGGGTATTGGCATTATTAGTCAAAGCTTTTTGGACCAAAATGTTCAAGAAAAGGGTGTTCAAACTATTCAATCATGTAATTAAGACTAGCTTTCCATTTCAAGCGGAAAGTTGCATATGCCATATTCTTTGGAAGGGGCCAACCCGTCAGAGTCTTCTGGTCCCAAAGCATCAAAGATTTAAGATATACTATATTAACAATAATAATATGCTTACTTTTGGTTTTAGAGATAAGCTAAGCCTAAGCATACAACAAATATCGGCATTTCATGTAAACATAATATTGAGTAGGCGTAAGACCAACTTCATAGTCTAAGACTTTATAGTTTTTACAATAGCATCATGCGGAAATTCAATAAACATAAGTATATATACATACCTTGACTAACCTTCAATTAAACCAACGTCATATTTGTCTTGCGTGATATGAAAAGGTGCCGTTAGTGTAAATGAAATATATGTTTCCTTCTAACCTTTTTCACTTTAGAAACCCTAATATATTTTGTTGTATGCATTGAACGGGTATGTGCATTATTATAGGTAGAGAGATACCAGTTTCCTATTGAAGCTCTAGTTTCCTAGTATAGTTCTAAGTAATTAACACACATCAAGGCAATTAAATAAGAAACTACTTTTCTTAATTTGACTAATATGATTATTCTGAATAATATTTATTAAATTCTTATAATACTACATAATTCTCGAAATATACAAGCCATACCATGTGGACCACATAAAATATTATGAAAATATTCTTCCTTACATTTGGTGGTACCAAAAAGAGTGTCGAAATTTGCCTTGCTACAGGACTCTAGAATCCCAAAATACAGGAAGAGCAATTTCTTTAAGAAAACACCAAACGAGAAAAAAAAACAAAAAATATTTTTTTTATTTATATTTGGGAAAAAAAAAGAAAAAAAAAAAAAAAAAACAAAGTAAAGGGTCAAAAGGGAGGATAGAATGTTGAATGTCCTTTCAATTAAAAGTCCAAACGGTGGATTTTGGGAATTGGAATTGGAATTGGGAAACTGTGAGTTTTCGTCAGATTGTACTTTGTTTTCTTCTCTGGAAGAAGAAAGCTGTTTTTGGAACTCTTTTGGGTTTTCGGCTTAATAATAATTTTAATAAATTTTGTGGTTCTGATTTTTCGTGCGTGCCATGTCCGTAAGCTTTTGGAGTTGTGGTGGGAGAAACAAGAGGGATTTTTTTTTTGGTGAGGACAGAGACCTCTGGAAGAGGGAAAAAGGCCCCACGTGTGTGCGTGTATCTCTGTCAAACGGTCAAAGCCAAGGCTTTTTGGGGGTTGTGGTTTCCTCACACCACGGCAGGCGCCAGTCCCGCTGGCACCAAATATTAAATCCCAGACTCGGTCCCGGTTTGGCTTTTGGGCTCATGCCCCCTTTGCCAATTGTCAATTGGAATATTTTTATTTCTTTCTTTTTATACAAGCAATAATCTAAACTCATTCATTCAATATAAGTATATTCTCATTTGTACATTTTTAGAAACATTAATGAGATTACTTAATTAGATAAAAGTTTATATATTTTTTTTCTATTTTTATAAGATTATTATGAAAGTTAAGTTATGATGCACTTTTTTTTATTTTGAGAGAAAAACGAGGCATTTAAATGGCAAGAAAACATTACAAAAGATCTTCAGTTATTGCATCTTGAAATATATCAGGAGGATTCCCATACCATAAAGACACATTTTCAATCGACAAAGCAAAACAGACTAATCTATGCGTCGCTAAGTTGGCCTCTCTAATCACAAAATTAATAATTGTATCTCTCAAGCCATAAAGCAGAATCTTCTTATTTTAATTTCTTTTGTTGTAAAATAATAAGGGAGGTGTGTTGCATTAGTATTTTGGAAGCTCATATTTTGCATACAATGTATGTTTTAGAAAGTGTCCATTGAGATTGTTGTAGGAAATCTTACAAATGAAATTTGATATTGAAGTGAAACTGCCCAATGACCCTTTCGAAAAATAAGTCAACTTTGGAATTGATTTCTTTTGTATGATAGGTTCATCCACTCCTAATTTTGTACTAATCATAAAGAAATAAAAACAGAGTTTTCCAAGCCCAGCAAAGTACGAATAAATATCCAATGGGTTCCCACCACAGTGGTGATGGATTCCTCCTCTCCCATGACACACAACATCGAACCCAGTAAAATTTATTTCCTCCAATATAACCGAAAATAAATTACGATTAGACAACACTGGAAAAAGTTCAACTCTTCCATGCACCAACTATATGACCTAGGTAAAATTAATTGTAATTTATATCAGCAATATGGTTTAATTGTAACTTACTGTACAGGATTTCTTGCCCATTCTTTTCTTTTTGGGTATTGGCATTATTAGTCAAAGCTTTTTGGACCAAAATGTTCAAGAAAAGGGTGTTCAAACTATTCAATCATGTAATTAAGACTAGCTTTCCATTTCAAGCGGAAAGTTGCATATGCCATATTCTTTGGAAGGGGCCAACCCGTCAGAGTCTTCTGGTCCCAAAGCATCAAAGATTTAAGATATACTATATTAACAATAATAATATGCTTACTTTTGGTTTTAGAGATAAGCTAAGCCTAAGCATACAACAAATATCGGCATTTCATGTAAACATAATATTGAGTAGGCGTAAGACCAACTTCATAGTCTAAGACTTTATAGTTTTTACAATAGCATCATGCGGAAATTCAATAAACATAAGTATATATACATACCTTGACTAACCTTCAATTAAACCAACGTCATATTTGTCTTGCGTGATATGAAAAGGTGCCGTTAGTGTAAATGAAATATATGTTTCCTTCTAACCTTTTTCACTTTAGAAACCCTAATATATTTTGTTGTATGCATTGAACGGGTATGTGCATTATTATAGGTAGAGAGATACCAGTTTCCTATTGAAGCTCTAGTTTCCTAGTATAGTTCTAAGTAATTAACACACATCAAGGCAATTAAATAAGAAACTACTTTTCTTAATTTGACTAATATGATTATTCTGAATAATATTTATTAAATTCTTATAATACTACATAATTCTCGAAATATACAAGCCATACCATGTGGACCACATAAAATATTATGAAAATATTCTTCCTTACATTTGGTGGTACCAAAAAGAGTGTCGAAATTTGCCTTGCTACAGGACTCTAGAATCCCAAAATACAGGAAGAGCAATTTCTTTAAGGCTGGCAAAGAGGGGGGGCTCACAGACAACATGTTTGGGATTCA